AGTTTCCAAAACCATAGCAAAATCATACATCTCACACAGATCACTCAGGTAACCCATCCATTGACCACTGTGTGCGCTCCATACTTCTCTTTCCCATGAGAAATTATGCTACCCACTTTACCTCTTGTCAGTATCGAACTCTTCCCTTTATGTCCCTGCCACATCATCCCCTACACTGTGTTGAAATTTCCTCCACACCATTTTACTGCCACCAATCCTGCTGAACTCCTCCTCTTTACTGTCTATGCAAATAATCCTGCCTTCTCAGTACATTACCTCATACTGCCATTCATCTTTGATCAGGGGTCTACTCTCCAATTAGACGTCTACTATTGCATCTAACACTTACCGATACAGTCCCTGGCCTCGGAACTGGAAATAGAAAAATAACTAAGGCAAGATCTCATGATCTTTGGCCTTTGCAGACTTCATATTGATGGAGACAGTATGAAGGTGAAAAGTAAAACATCCTCGTATATGTGCTACAGAAAGTGGCTACATAGGATGCAGTGGTGAAATGACCAGACAAGAGTTCCAGAGGGAGACACACTGAAATCTCCTGGGGGCATAAGTGACACACAGAAGTCCGGGTGAAAAGAAGGTTGAAGGGAGCCACAGACAGTGAGAGTTCCTCAAAGGCGATCTGTTGAAATTTCAGGGCCCAGATGGAAGAGTAGTTGTACCTCGGTCACATCACAATGACTGCAATGATGAAATTTAGCGAACCACTGTGAGTAACTTTTTAACTAAATCTGTCAGTATTCTGAGATGTGAATCATGAAACATTTATAATCCTTCACAATGTGCTAATCTGCATGTCTGTGTATATTTAGTGAAAATACTAAATCCTAAATCAAATTTAAATACTACCGCCTCTCCTGGAGCTATAATTGTACTTTCTTGATCTTATAATGCAAAGTTCAAAGGCTTGGAATAATAATTTCAATGAAGCAGTAAGAAGCACCTTAGACTTAAAAGTTTGATTATGTTTAATATCCATTTCTGAAAAGTGACAGTCTGGTTCATAGCGCTGGCAAGGTGAGACCTAAGGTGGTCACTGATAGCCATAATCATTGTTATAGTACTAAATGGTAATGGATTGGAATATTTTCAATATACTGTTATAGTGTTTCTTTTTTATTTATTTTCTTTCTGTATTTCAGGGAAGGGTCTATAGGGTGTTCAGGGTCTCACTACTAGATTGGATTCATAGTGATCTTCCTGTCTACAGCTTCCCAAGTGCTGGGATTACAGGCAAGCGCTGCCATGCCCAGTCTCAATTGCCGTCTCAGCATGCCCCAGGGGCAGGGCCAGCACGGCAGGCCCAGGGATCAAACCACTGGCCCCTGCACCCTTGCAGGTGCTTTAATCCGCTGAGCTATTTAGCTGGCCCTTAGTATTTTCAATATGCTCCCTCAAGTGCTGGAAAAATACAGAGTACTGGACACAATTCCATGTGACAATTAAATAACCAATCCTGTTACATCTACAAATTTTGTTCCAAATTATTGCACTTTCGCATACATGGGGATCAACCTCAGATGTTTCCTCATTTTGACAAAAAATAAGCATTTCTGTTTCTGTTTCCAACTACATAACTTATTCTTCCTTTCTCACCAAATACAGAAAAAACCCGTATTGTTAAATATTTATCTTCTTCACATATGATGTCACACTGATTGTTGTGATTATCCTTCCCTCCTGCTTGTTTTACTGGTAATCCCAAAAGCATTTGGACAGTAATGGTACTATTACTCTTTCCAAATAAAAGTCACTTAAGTTGACTCTTTCTATAAGAAACACAATATATGTTGTCACGTGAGGCGCCGTCCATTTGATGGATATTTTCCAATCTCTGCCAAACATTCTTCAGTTTGATTTGCTTTTAGATTTTTCCTTCATAAGACGTATTTCTTATCCATTACTTTCAGATCATTACTTTCAGATTGATTGGCCTAGTTTCAGATATTGTATTTTCCTGACTAATGCCTTGTTCTATCCAGGCTCATATTCTTACAATGGTTCTCAAGAGGCTTGAGTCATTCTCTCGATATCTGATAGCAAATCATACAAGTTTTGCTAAGGTGCCTTGAGTTGCAAATGATTGCGTGGGAGAAAGTTTGAAGCCTCAAGTACAAGTGGTCTTGGTTTCAGAAGTTCCTATCTACCAACAAAAATAAGTCTGCCACTCCTACTGGAAATGTGGCCTTACTAGTCTTTATTTTTCTTCTTCAGTTTAGCTTAAGATTTCTTGGCAAACCAGAGAAAAACAAAGGCGAAATCTAAATGAATGCAAACCAGTTTTTAAAAAATAGTCTGATTAATATTTTTCACACAGAACAATTATTTTTATTTCATCTAAAAGTAGATTAATAGATACTGCAATGCACATAGTTCCATCTGTCAACAAAATTTAGTTCTAGTAACTATAGATATTTGTTTTTCATGAATTCTAATTCACCTGTATGAATATTTTATCTATTACTGTCAAACCAACAAAATCCTCCCTTATCTGCTGTTCTTGGCTGGTTTTCCTTAAAAGCTTTGGCTTACCTAAAGGAAAAAATGTTTGCAATTCTATTTCACATCACATTAAAATACACACTAAGACTCAGCAACAAACTATTCAGAGATTGTGACGTGACATACTTAAATCAATTATTTTATAATCGCATTCATATATGTATAAACATACATAACAGCTCATGTTCTACTTTAAAATTAATTAGTATTATAGCTTAAAGGAAAGCATACATACATAAACATACCTAACAACAGATGCATATTCTACTTTAAAATTAAGTAATGTCATAGTTTAAAGGAAAAGAAAAAAATCTCTTTCCCCCAAAGAACTCCCTTCCAAAGCTGGTCCACCTTGGTGTCTCTCCTTGCTTCCCACTACTCTGATAGTCGTCATATTACAAGGAAGGGTATCATCAGGATAACTTTGGAATAATTATTAGATGAGCTCACTGTGGGCTACTTACTTTTTAGGCTGATTTTCATGCCAAGATAAACTCCTGTAGTAGTGAGAACTGTGCTACTACACAAATTGATAAGGAATCTGGGATCTTATGAAGAAACTCAAAAGATTTAGTCTCTTAAAAAGTCCTGGCAGGAGGGGAGCTAGGGAGAAGGGTAAGAAAACAAAAGCAGAGGCTCTCATTTACTTCTAAAGTTTAATACAGGAAGAAAAACAGGTCCTAAACATTGGCTCAGATGTAGGTTCCTTTGCATATGACCTTAAGATTTGCCTGACAGGCATATGAAGTAGAGGTGATACTGCTGGTTTAGGGTACATGTGGCTCTTTTACTAGCTCACATCCTGTGGTGTGCTCACTAATCAGAGAAGGCCAAGCTATAGTTGTGCTTGGCAGAGAACTAGAGCTCCACAGAGGATGTCACTTCAAATCTTCCTAAAATCCAGAAGGGAAAGTCCACCAGAATTGGTGAATTCAGGAAGGGCCTTCACACATTTAGACTTTGGCTGTATTTTCTGTCTCCCAGTCTGAAGCCTACAGTGCTCCTGGACCAATGGTGCCCAGGGGCAGCATCAGAGATTTTTCAGCCTTATTACCACAATCGAACACTCTAGATTCTTGCTACTAGTGCTCCTTACTCACATTCTATACTGCTAAAGGATTGGGGTTCTTCTGAACCTGTACAAAAAGAGCAAGATACCTCCTCACTTCTGACTTTCACTACCCAGGTTTCTATTTTTTTT